TATATGAGATCAGTAATTAACCCAGGTGAATCTGTTGGTATTATTGCTTCTCAATCTATCGGTGAACCATCAACTCAAATGACCTTAAATACCTTCCATTTTGCAGGTCATGGTGCCGCAAATGTCACATTAGGTATTCCACGTATGAGAGAAATTATTATGACTGCGTCTGCTGCTATAAAAACTCCTCAGATGACATTACCAATATTAGATGATGTTACTGATTCACAAGCAGATTCGTTCTGTAAATCTGCGGCTAAGGTTGTATTGTCTGAATTTATTGATAAGATTTTAGTTACTGAAAGTACTGGTTCTTCAGGATCAGGCGACAGTTCAAGATCCTATACAATCAACATGAGATTCTATTCACGTAAAGAATATGAACAAGAATATGATATCACCCAACAGCACTTAGAAACTGTTGTTACGGATAAATTCTTGGACGCATTAGAAGCTCAAGTTGTTAAGGAAGTTAAGAAGCAACGTAAGCCAGATGCCTTACCTACAGTTGGTGCAGCCGTACCAAAATCTCAAACTGATTTAGCTATCAGCAGCGGTACTAGTATAACAACTGAAAATGAAGACGGATCCGCTTCGGATGAAAAACACTCTAACAGTAAACAAGCAGTTTCATATGAAGAGCCTGATGATGATGAAATTGAAACCATGAAAAAGGCCGAAGAAACATCTGATGAAGATATGGAAGATTCTTCTTCGTCCGATGATTCATCTGATGAAGAATCCGATGAAGAAATGAAGCCAGAAGAGATTAACAGAAAAGAACCAAAGAGTTTGTCAAGAAGCGCTAAAGACCGTCAATCTGAAGTTATATCGTCACATAACTTAATAAGTAAATTCAACTTCGATGATGACAATGGTGAATGGTGTGAATTCAAATTGGACTTGTCTGGGGACTCTCAGAAATTGTTGATGGTTAATATTGTTGAAGAAATTTGTCGTAAGGTTGTTGTTAGAGAAATTCCAAGAATCGGTCGTTGTCTTCATCCACAACCAGAAGTAGGTGGAAAGCGTATATTGACCACTGAAGGTGTTAATTTCCAAGCCATGTGGGATCAAGATGATTTCATTAACGTCAATAGTATATCCTCGAATGATGTTGCTGCTGTCTTGCGCACATATGGTGTTGAAGCTGCTAGAAATACTATTGTAAATGAAATCCAGAATGTTTTCGACAGATATGCTATTGCCGTTTCATCTCGTCATCTTGATTTAATTGGTGATATGATGACGAGAGAAGGTACTTATTTAGCGTTTAATAGACAAGGTATTGATTCTTCAACATCTGCATTTATGAAAATGTCATATGAAACCACTTGTCAATTCTTAACCAAGGCGGTCTTGGATGGTGAAAGAGAAGACTTAGAAAGTCCAAGTGCAAGAATTGTTATGGGTAAATTATCGAACGTTGGTACTGGATCCTTCGATGTTTTGGCCCGTATGCCAAAATGTTAAAATAGATTATGTATATATATATTTGTTTCCAATTGCATATTATTAATAATAAGATTATTTGTAGTGGCATTAAAAGGATAATGTCTTATTGACTGTTATTAAGATTTAACTTTAGATTACTTCTTACTGCTGATACAAACTATAAGTGTAGTTATACATTTTAAACTATACGCACTTACCTATAGATGCGATCAAACCTTCTACTAAGCGCTCTATACATTGAAAGCAGCGATCAAAAATGTCAATACAAACGATATTTTGAAGCTAGGTTGGTTCAACACCAACTTCTTTACGTCAATTCTTTCAGATCCGATATTGACGAATTGTCTCCATGGAATACTAATAATGCCCCTGTTTTCCAAAAATTGGGTCAAAAGATAGCCTGATAACGTCAAAAATACAACTGCAGAACTCAATTTTCCGGCAAGTATTCCCAAGAATAATCCTGTGATCGACCCAATGGTCAATTCCTGGTAATCCAACTTTCCCCCAAACCTCGAATTAATCACTTTTTGTTCTGGTACAACAGGTTGCTGGGTGGAAAAGTCCCGAGTTCCAGCAAACGCAGCATCGTTAAAGATAGTCGATTTAGATTGAAGTTTATTGACCAAGTAAAATGTTCCTACTGACCCCACAAGCAACTTCATTTTTGGCATCATGGACCCATTGGACATAACTCTGGTGTTGACAAATTGGGTTTTGGAAACAAAATTCCGGGTAAACATCGATCTCATCGATGCTACCCTTGTTGAGTTCCTAGCGGCTGAAAAGAATGGATGCATCATCTTGATATACGTTGTCCTGGAGCTCCTCCAAGTCCTTTATTATGCCATTAAGGACACCTTTTGAATCATAAACATCGGTACGTGCACGACTTTGTTGCAATCCTGTGAATTTAGCCCACTTTATCAATTCGATATCTACCATATACAACTTGACGTAGAATGCTGCATCTGTCCCTACTTAGAATTCACCTCTCCTTGTTGCAATGTCATACTTACGTCTCAACACCAACATCAAAACCTACATCTAAACCTAAACTTACATAACATCTACGCTTACACTTACGACTACGCATCTCTATTTCTACAGCCCATATCTAGGAACAGTCAGTGTCTAGGCCCTACAAGCCAGGTCACAATTCAAACATGACCGGTTTACCATATTTTTTAGTCACTCCTCTAAACTGCTATGTCGTACCTTATTGCTATCCTTTCGTATTAGACCTGCAATTATGTCGCATTATTTCGAGTTAACTCCGCACAGAAGAAAAAAAATGCCGATGTCTTTTAGTTATGTAATCTTACGACATTTCGGTCAAACTTCATAACCGGTGAAATATTTCAACACGTCTGGTAAGGCATTTCTGCTATAGTTATAAAGCTTGCAAATGCAGCTATTTCAGGTAAATTGTAATAATTTATAAGTGAGGTTGTAAAACATATTTCATTGTATAATTAAACTTATTTAGGCTCAACCCTTTAATTTTATTATTATTATACAAGCAGGCAGCAATATTGCAACACTACTAATTCAACATTATATTGCACAATACAAGAAATTAGAAACAGAAGTTCGATACGCGGCAAATAGAACCAGCAATGGATATAGGAATGGAATATGATAATGGTATGAATATTTATGGAGAAGCAGCATCGGAGATTTCGCCGTCTGTTTGGTTAGGGTCGTACTCGGTGCTTTCACAGCAGCGATTTTTGGACGCAAAGAACATCAAGGTGATTATCAACTGTTCGCCTACATGCACATTTTTGAAGGAATTGGGTGCTAGCGGCATGAACATGTCTTCGGATTTGGTAATATTGCTGTTGGATCCATCGTTTGATGCTGGTAGGGTGACAAGCGATGAGATGCCTCTTTTAGACGACTACATGAGTAGGTTCAACCGGATTTTGCAAAATTACATCAATTTTTTTTATAATTTGAATCCACAGGTGAATAATCTAATCCACAAGTTTCCGCAGAACAAGCCTCTCAGCATTAACAGTCCTATTTTGACGGGCAATTTGAAGGAGCAATTTTTCAACATCAACCGGTTGCTTAAGTTGTTGAAGAATGTGAACGACTCGATCGGGACACTTATAGTGTCGCCTGACGGCAACTCCCAGTTGTCTACTGGTTTGACTATGTCGTATCTCATGGATAACTACAATTTCAACTTTGACGCCAGCTACACCAACCTCAAGATCACCAGACCGCTGATTGTGCCTTTTAATTATCAGTATTATGACGACTTGCTTATTATTGAAAACTTGAAGAAGTTTTACCTGGAGAACTCGTCGATCAAGCAGACGAACAACGTGTTGTTGACGACAAACTGCAATTTGAAGAGGAAGAATGAATATGATTATATTTGGGTTGGTGGTGCCAAAAGAAAAAATGTCGAGTAAACTATACACGGCGGGAAAAATTGCTTAGTATGTATAGCTATTGTATACTATTTATCGAATAACGAATGTATTATAATTAAGTACGGTGTATTCTGGTGGTCTCCATATAATCCTAGTGTTTCAATATCTCAATCTCTTTAATATCTCCTGGTATCTCTACGCTTCAGCATTTCTTACAGTCGTAACACCATCTATTACCTTCATTTATTCCTATGTACAACTCTCTCCCCAATATCTACGCACGCTTATATTCGGCACATCTCTCCCGTATACCTATCTATATTCAGCACATCTATCCCGTATACTGCACCTCATACTTATCTCAGTTCGGAACCAGCAACCCCACCCTATTGGCGGTTCTTCTCACTTTGTCCTCCTGGTCCATCGCCAATCCCGGATTGTACCTCTCGATCAACTCGGTGTACACCCGTTGCGAATTCAAAAAGGTCTTGATATTCTTCATGTGATTCAAATTCATCTTACTGGCCTCCTTTTCCGCCACAATCTCCTTGATGATCGTGCTATTGATCCGCGGCGCCTTCGTCTCCCCACTATCCAACCTCGAAAGCTGCTCATCAAGGTGTTTCGTGGGCATCTTGTCTTTGATCGCCTGGAACTTCTGGTATTGCAATTTGGTCTTACGATGCTTCAACTCCCTCTCAGCGTGCGCCTTGAACGTCTTACTATTTATTATCGACAACTCCTTCTGTAACTCCTTGTATAACTGTCTGAATTTCATTATATCTGTTCCTATCAACTACCGGTACCAAACACCTAACACCCTCTAGACCCATACTAATAGACCCACTGAAAAATTAATTATGTCCCGTACTGCAGATAGTCCCCGCCATATGGCGGACTCCTACGCCAAAATGCACTTGTTATTTCAGCCAATCAGATCGATTTCTCCTGAGGTCCGTCGGAGCCGGCCGGAGTGGAAATTATTCATGATCTCCGACGGAAAATATTACACAAAAGCTTGTAAGGTGCAAATAGAAAAAAATCAAAAAAATTTCAATGTTCAATGTTCAACTCCCTGTCTCCGATCTTTAATCAAATATTTTATTATATTTAATATTTGCTAATTGAAATAAATTATAAAATTGATCGTGTATAACAATGTTCAGATCTGGTATTCAAAAAGTAAGTTTCTTATTGGGATACAGGGGAATTGACTGGTCCAAATAGACAAGTCTGCGGATAAATATAAACCGAGAGAATAAGGGAAAAAAAGGATAAATTACTAACTATTCATTGTAGAGTTCCATTCGTAAGTTGGCCACTTTCATTTCGCCTGAGTCCGCTTTGCCAAAGAAGTACGGTGGTAAATATACCGTGACTTTGATTCCAGGGGATGGTGTCGGTAAGGAAATCACTGACTCTGTCAGAACCATCTTCAAAGACCAAAACGTTCCAATTGAATGGGAAGTTGTTGATGTTTCGGGATTAGAAGCTGGTAACGGTGTTACTGAGGCTGTTGAATCGTTGAAGAGAAACAAGGTTGGTTTGAAAGGTATCTTGTACACCCCAACCGGGTCCTCAGGCAAGTCTTTAAATGTTGCATTAAGAAAAGAATTAGACATCTACGCCTCTTTGGTTTTGATTAAGAACATCCCAGGTGTCAAGGGTAGATTAGAAGGTATTGACTTTGCCTTGGTCAGAGAAAACACCGAAGGTGAATACTCGGGATTAGAACACCAATCGTACCCAGGTGTTGTTGAATCCTTAAAGATCATGACTAGGTTCAAGTCTGAAAGAATCGCCAAGTTCGCCTTTGACTTTGCCAAGAAGAACAACAGAAAATTGGTCACAGCTATCCACAAAGCCAACATTATGAAGTTAGGGGATGGTTTATTCAGAACCACCGTCAAGGACGTTGGTCAAGACTACTCTGGTATTGAAGTTAACGACTTGATTGTCGATAATGCTTCCATGCAAGCCGTTGCCAAGCCACAACAATTCGATGTCTTGGTCACTCCAAACTTGTACGGTACCATCTTATCTAACATTGGTGCTGCTTTAATTGGTGGTCCAGGTTTAGTTCCAGGTGCTAACTTCGGTAGAGAATACGCTGTTTTCGAACCAGGTTGTAGACACGTTGGTTTAGATATCAAGGGTCAAAACACCGCTAACCCAACAGCCATGATCTTATCCGCTGCTATGTTATTAAGACACTTAGGCTTAAACGATCATGCTGATAAGATCTCTAAGGCTACCTACGACGTCATTGCCGAAGGTAATGTTAGAACTAAAGATATCGGTGGTGCTTCCTCCACTACTGAATTCACTGACGCTATTGTGGCTAAATTGAATTAAATTACTTAAGTTATATATATATATAAATAATTTAATTTTTCTCATTTGTTAAATAATCTTATAAACATTTCATCCTTAGTACCAGTCTTTAATGTCATGACAGAACAAGTAGTATAGTGTAATCTATAGACTGGCAATAAAAAAAATGATTTCGCCCAGGATCGAACTGGGGACGTTCTGCGTGTTAAGCAGATGCCATAACCAACTAGACCACGAAACCATTTATATTCATAAATCCTCGCTTAATTAATAGTAGTTGCTTACTCAAGAGTTTATCTGGATCTATCTCCTTTGTTTGCTATTATGTCGGGAATTTTCCTATTTACACTAGCTTATTGAAAATCCTGCAATACTATTAAGATCTATTAGGTTGGATAAATAGTAGCATTATATACATATTTTTCTAATTATTTCCTACTATAGGGTCAGGTGATGTTGGCCAAAGTATTTATCAGATTCAGAATCATAGACGCTAGAACTTTCAAATTCTTCGGTGTGCTTATGTATATAATTAGAGTCAATATCATTCAAGTAGTCACTATCATTCAAATATTTTATATTCTTCCTGCCGCTGCTTATCAAGCCACATGTTTGCATTTCATTTTCTAGTTCTTCAGTACAATAGTCGAATTGTCTTGGCTCTATATCTGATTTGTTTGAGCAAAGGCTGTCAAGCCGCAAACTGTTCGAAGCCATCGAATACTTATGGTATCTTCTTCTAAATGAATTTAGTTGACAGTTTGTATAATTAGCCTTCGGTAATACAATGCTACCATCTATATTATAGAATTTTGCGGCTTTTGTATTAGGAAAAAATGCCTTATTGCTTGCAGGGAAATCATAGTTTCGGGATCTATTAGGAGAATCAAGAATTAAACTTCCTGTACTTCCACTTTCTATCGAATAGTTATTTTTCGAACAATTCAGAATGGTATCATCCATGAAGATAGTTTTAACGAAAGGATTACTTTTATAGTGCATGTTAGAATTAGTTATAATATCTTGTCCTGTCGGAAAAGCTGTTAAAGATAATGGTAAGCTTAAGGTTTTAAATGAACACATGGAAGAAGACCCATCTACGGAATAAATTTCATCTGTTAGAACATTACCAGTATTATGTTCAGTATAGGAAATGCAATAGCTAGTTGTTGAATAACCGCAAGAAGACGGATGTTCCAAATTTGCAACTGCATCAGATGAGGGAATAATAGAATCCTTCGATTTAAGAGCTACCACTGAACTACAAATAGAAGTATTACTAGTGTCAATTGCATCACACTTATTTGTAGCTTCAGGATTGTATGTTGTAGTAGTGGTATTTGTAGAGTCAGAACCGTTGGAGTTTGTCGTACTAAGAGAGGTGAAGCGAGAACTGATTGTGGATTTGGTTATATGCGACGTGAAAAATCTGAATAATCCCCTATTTTCCTTCGAGCTTTGAGTATTTCTCTCATTACTATGCATTTCTTTGCTTGATCCTTCACTGGAAATATTTGACTCAATTGGGAATATTATTTCTATGAGATCCTCTTTTTTTTTAATTAGCTTCTTTCGAGTATCACTTAATCTTTTTGATGCCACTGCACTGCTTAAATTATTTAAAGCCGAAATAATTTGGTTATCCATCAAATCCTCTGTCTCTTTCCTTTCTTTTAGTAATTTTGATTCTGATTGTTCTTTTTGTTTTTGCAATTTTATAAATTCTTCTTCCTTTAAATAGACATACGGATTTCTAAAAGGGGGGTCTTTGTGAATGGCATTAGCGAAAAGTTTGCAAAAGTGCATTTTAAATGGCAATTATATGTGTAGTTGTACCTAGAATATAGAAGACATTTGAAATAGTAAACAACCTGTATTTATAATTTACAAGTACGTTTTATTGCGTTCTAACTTTCTTTGTGGTTGCGAAATTGTAACTATATATCAAGAGCCGCAAGTAATACAAACGGAATTAAAGTCAATTGTCTTGATTATCAACTTCTTAGATCTTAAGGAATTAATTATTTGATTAACAATACCATATGACTCCCAACAAATATTTAACGAGAGAATAATCTTAGGTATAGAATTACTTTTTTCATAAAAAGGTTGCATTTTTGCATTTTATACGTAAATTTAAAAATAATACAATTAATAGTCAAGCCTCTTGGAGACGTTCTCTAAAGTCATATATAGTATGTTAAACATGATATACAAGTAGTATACATTTTTTTACGTCTAGCTGCACTAAATTATACTCCGTGAGGTATTACCTAACGTATATTTCTGAGGGTTCATAATTTTTGACACAGGAGTACTAAAGAGGTATTTGGGAGTTCACAACATGAAAGAGATCAGATCTGAAAATAATATATCCATAGTATTTAAATTGATATTTGTTAAGAACTACATAAGTTTTCAGAGTCAATTAATCGACTATTCATTTTCTTATTTTGTATGATTCATAATTCTCACTCTGAAATCTGAAATTTTCGTTGGTGAATGAGACTTAATAGATTTTTCTATTTTTCAAATTTTTTTTTTTTTGATTTTCTTTTGTTTTAACGGGACTTTATTGTTATTCATTCAAAGTCTTTGTTCTTAAAGGTTATTTAATTTTACTTCAATTAAACAAGCAAACATGTGTGACGTTGTCTTAGGATCCCAATGGGGAGATGAAGGTAAAGGGAAATTAGTTGACGTATTATGTGATGAAATTGATGTTTGTGCCAGATGCCAAGGTGGTAATAATGCTGGCCATACTATTGTTGTTGGTGACACCAAATATGATTTCCACATGTTACCATCAGGATTAGTTAACCCTAAATGTTTGAACTTGGTTGGTTCGGGTGTTGTTATCCACGTTCCTTCACTTTTTGAAGAATTAGAAAACTTGGAAAAGAAGGGATTACACTGTCGTGATAGATTGTTTATTTCTTCGAGAGCTCACTTGGTTTTCGACTTCCATCAAAGAACGGATAAGTTAAAAGAAGCAGAATTATCGGAAAATAAAAAATCTATTGGTACAACTGGTAAGGGTATTGGTCCAACTTATTCTACCAAGGCTTCCAGATCTGGTATTAGAGTCCACCACTTAGTTTCTGAAGAACCAGAATCTTGGGAAGAATTCAAAACGAGATATCACCGTTTAGTTGACTCTAGATTCAAAAGATACGGTAATTTTGAATATGATACCGAAGCTGAATTAGCCAAGTACGAGAAATACAGAGAGTTACTTAGAGGCCATGTTGTTGATTCGATTGACTTTATGCATTCAGCAATTGCTCAAAACAAGAAAATTTTGGTCGAAGGTGCTAATGCTTTAATGTTGGATATTGATTTTGGTACTTATCCTTACGTTACTTCTTCTGCTACTGGTATTGGTGGTGTCTGTACTGGGTTAGGTATCCCTCCAAGAGCTATCAACAAAGTATATGGTGTTGTTAAGGCTTATACTACTAGAGTTGGTGAAGGTCCTTTCCCAACCGAGCAATTGAATGAAGCTGGTAAAACTTTACAAGATATCGGTGCGGAATTTGGTGTCACTACCGGTAGAAAGAGAAGATGTGGTTGGTTAGATTTGGTTGTCTTGAAATACTCAACATTGATTAACGGATACACTTCCTTAAATATTACCAAGTTAGATGTCTTAGATACCTTCAAGGAAATTCAAATTGGTGTTTCGTATACTTATAAGGGTAAAAAATTGAATAGTTTCCCAGAAGATTTACATAAATTAGCTAAGGTTGATGTCGACTATGTTACATTACCTGGGTGGGAACAAGATATCACTAAGATTAAGAACTACAACGATTTACCAGAAAATGCTAAGAAATATTTGAAATATATTGAAGATTATTTGGATGTTCCAATTCAATGGGTTGGTACCGGTCCATCGCGTGACTCAATGTTAGTAAAGGACCTTAATTAGATATAGGAAATTTGTTTAGTTCAAGTAGATGTTAATTTGAAGTTTTTATATTATTGCAAGTGTTTTAACCAGAACGTAATTATCGCGAGAATTTCAATTTTTTGAATCTATTCTTTTTGTATGAATTGAGCTATATTGTACAATAATGGCATTAAAAACCAATGTTGGTGACTCTCAAAGGCTCAATGGTCTCCAAATAGGGCTAATTGCTTTAAATGTACTATTAAGAGTTTACGCAGCATTTTTTATGATAATATCCGACTGTGATGAAACATTTAATTATTGGGAACCTTTGAATCTATTGATCAGAGGATTTGGTAAACAAACATGGGAATATTCGCCTGAATATGCCATAAGATCCTACACATACTTGATACCATATGTTATCGTTACGTATCCTATTAAGATGTTTGAAAAGTTGGTCAATATTCCTTCGTACTATCAATTTTACTGGATTCGTCTTATTGCATTATGTGGGTTTACATGTTTCACTGAATTGAGAATGTTTTATTCGATAAATTCAAGTTTAAATCGTAAGGTTGGGAATTGGTTCTTATTCTTATCTTCTATAGCTCCAGGCATGTCCCATGCGGGTGTTGCATTATTACCATCTTCGTTTGCTATGAATTGTGTTACCATGGCCACAGCAAATTCATTATCAGCAATTTCAGAAAATAGTGTCAACTGCAGTGTACTGGCCATAGTATGGTTCTTAATCGGGGGGATAGTTGGCTGGCCATTCGCTCTTGCATTAGGTCTACCATTTGGGTTATTTATTTTGATTCAAAATATTAAAAGATACAATATACTCTTTTCTATCATTAAAGGATGCGTTGCTGGTTTGGTATCTATTCTAATAATCAGTACTTCTATTGATTCATGGTTTTACCAAAAAATTGACCTAGTTCCCTTGAATATCGTCTTATACAACGTATTTGGCGAACAAGGGGAAGGTCCTGAAATCTTTGGAGTTGAACCATTTCACTACTATATCTTGAATTTATTGGTGAATTTTAATGTAGTGGCTATATTAGGCTACGTTGGGTTGGTGGTGAATGTTGTTCTTTTTGGGGAAAAAAATAGGTACAAAGTATTGATAACTGTAAGTCTTCCGCTACTTATTTGGTCATTAATATTTGGTAGCCAACCCCATAAAGAAGAGAGATTTTTATACCCAATATATCCATTATTGATTCTTAGCAGTTCATTATTATTGACTCTTATCTTCCCCATGGTTACGTTTGTTTCGAAAGGAATAGCAGCAAATAAGATTAATTCTAAACATATTGAGAAATTGGTTCAACTATTATTTGCCTTCTCAGTTGGTATGGTATCCATATTGCGCATAATTAATTTAGTGGAAAATTATAGTACCCCATTATCTGTGCATAGAGAAATATCAACCTTACCCGTATTAAATGTACCAGTTAATGTATGCACTGGGCGTGAATGGTACCACTTTCCAAACTCGTTTTTCTTGCCAGACAATTATCGTTTAAAATTTATTAGAAGTGGGTTTGATGGCTTATTACCTGGTGATTTCTTGGAGGGAACTAGTTTAAAAACTAGTACTTCTTTTATTCCACCTAATATGAATAACAAAAACCAATATTCAGATGACAAGGTAATTGATTTTGATGAGTGCTCCTATTATATAGATAATTCTCAAGCTGCAAATCTTGAAGTTGGTGAGCCAAATATCGTTGAAAGAAGTGGTAAAGAATTAAATGTGAACAAAGATTGGTCCGTGGTACAGTGCCGGAATATTATTAATCCCAGTGGCACCAGTTCAGGAATAGGCAAATTGCTCTGGATCCCAGAGTACGTTAGATCTCTAATCCCTTACAACGTTGACTATATGGACTATTGCTTAATGGAAAGAAAAAAGAATATTGTATAGAAATTACATACCTTAAATTAATATTACTGATATATTAAATTTGGAACAAAATAAATATATAAAAGTAAACTATAAATAGATGCATATGTATAAAAAGGCAAATAGAAAGTTTATCATATTTATTCATTTACTCTTAGGCTTTGTTGATTCCAGTTTTTATTATTTCATTAAAACAATCATTATTATAAAATAGATTTTGATTTATCTAAATTCAATCTTGAGTAAAATCCACCCTTGTCTCTAAAAAATTAACGTCAATGAAGTGATTAGATCTTACGTGTTAATCAATTAAAATTCATCATCAAAATAGTTGTTTAAGGCTTTTCTCGAATTGGCGAAACCATCTCTGGCCTTATTTAATGCATCCTCGATCAACTTAATCCAAAATTCGTCATCCTTTTGGTCATTATTGTCCTTTAATTTAAAATTATCAAAGTTAACCTTATGTCCGTAATTTTGGATCCTTTCACACTGAGATGAAATCTTTTCCAACCCTAACGCAGCAGCCGATCCCTTTAAGTAATGGCCTAATCCTGAAATTTTGTCGAAGTTCTTAATTTCCAAATTCTCATCAATTTCTTTGAATGTTTCTAACACTTGATCAACGAAGGTTTGAAATAATGATTTGGAAAATCCTTCTTCATCTTCATCCATCGCCACTAATTCGGAGAAAACTGACCATTCGATTAACCCTGAATCTTGTAATTCCTTTGTTTTTGCTTCTGACATTATATTCCTAAACGATTGATATTATGATACGTATTTAACGTATTTGTTGCTATTCTATAGTTATAAATTAAAAACTTGTGTCTATGAATTAAAGCTGATTTCTAATACTTTTTGATTCTTAAATCCTTCTAGTATGTAAATAATAATCACCCAATTACAAAATTTCTAGTCAAGATCCGATGAATTGAAAATAACGACAGCTTGAATTTATTCAATATAAAGGACGATGAATAAGTTATAATATTTCTTCTTATACTTGTTTTCAACAACCCTGTTCAAAATTACAACTGTTAATTCTCATCCTCGAAACTTTTCAAACTACGTCATAACTTACACAAAAGAAAAATAATCTAGACTTAACCTCTATAATCTATTTAAATAGTTCGTATAAATCACCTAACTTATCAGCATAATATGTAGGAGCAGTAGATGTGCTTTGGGATAATACAGCCTGTTCAGTTTCAATGCCGGTTAAAACAAGTAAAGTGTCAAGCCCCCCATCTCTTCCAAATTTCATATCAGTATTCAATCTATCACCGATCATTAGACCTCTAGATGGCTTAGAAGCTAAACCTGGATTATCGGCAATGATAGAATTCATCATAGATTGATTTGGCTTACCACAGATCGCGTCTGGTTGTCTGCCACTGGCATACGCTACAGTTTCTATGATTGACCCTGCCCCAATTAATAATTTGCCCTTCATTGGAAACGTAGAGTCAATATTTGTTGCAATAAACGGTATAGATTTATTGTCCTTTAACAAGTATTGCATAGTTATGGATAGCTTTAAATAATTTAAATTGAAAGTTAAACCAGTAACCACAGCTCCTACATCATCATCAAGTTCGGTTAACAATGGATGATCGTGGTCGAAATGGACTCCATGTTCTACCAAGGTTGGATCAGTACCTCCGATTGTGGTGTAGCCTAATTCGTGTAATTCACGTTCAATGCCTTCTTCACCCAAAACCCAAATCTTCTTATTTTTTGGCAATTTTAAAATCTTATCGATGTAAACTGCAGAGGCATACGATGATCCAAACACTTCACTTTTAGTAATCCCCAGAACCCCAAGTTTATCAAATTTACTTAAATAAGCGTCTCGAGATTTGGTGGAATTGTTGGTCACAAATAATACTGTCTTGTTAGCCTTTTTCAAGAGATCTAAAGTCTCACAAATATGTGGCAATAAATGATCTCCTAACCAAAGAACACCATCGCAATCGAATATAAAATAGTCATAATTGTCAATTATGGCTTTTGCCTGTTCTTTCGTAGTGATCTTTTTCGACATTTGTCTTTATGGGTGATATGGATAGAACTACTTCTCTGTCAAAATTGTTGATATTTTTATATCGGTACAAGCACACGTGATAAATAATCATATCAATGGGTTAATCATACCCATACCTAATGATATCATCGAGAAGTAATAGCTATGTACTTTCGTAAAGTCTTAGCCTACTGAAGAAAAAGTACAAGAAAAGAATACGTAACAAATTTGCTATATTATATTATAAATTGGAGTGTATGAAAGTATGAAAATAGAGATAAAAAATGACTTAGGTTTTATATACTATTTATGAAGCAGTAGAGTACATATCTCAAAATTTCTTTATGAGTCAGGAGCTTGATAGAATCAATTGTGGAACTGTCTAGTAGTCCATCATTCTGATAGAATCCACCATCTACGATTTGGACTCATTACAAGCTAGAATATATGATCCTTAAAAAACTAACGTTCTGAAGGATGAACACCAGCAGTAAATCTTGGGAAACGGAATTTGGACTTATCATGGTATAACTCTTCATCAAATTTGGCCTTCTTTTCTGGGGACATGGTTTCTCTAACAAGTTCTTGTCTTGCCTTTTCAGAATAATATCTTCTAGCAACATTTCTATCTTCTTCGGCCAATAATAATGGTTCTAAGTGGAAACGCGCCCACTGTCTTTCTCTTGCTAATTCACGTTGTTCATCAACACCCTTGTAATATTTATAAAATCCAAATGCCATTAATCCAGTAAATCCCCAGAAATAAATAGCAGGTCTAAACCCTCTAGATGGAAGATTTCTTTTCCATTGAACAGGTTCGTAGCCTCCAATAGGTGGTAAATCTTGCATGGCTAATTAATATTCAATGTAAATTAAACAGTATCGATAGTATTTCAATATAGTTTTGAAGTTAGAAAAATTGATTTCGAGTAACTTCATTGGGCATTGGATAGATTTCCTAATTCGGAAATAAGTGTATTAAACCTTTTCATTGGTTTTCGCGCTCTATATTTTTCACTCTTAATTGATATATTTATATTACTTTACGTTAGAGTCGTAGACATACATAATGATTAAATAAACTAAAATATAAAAGCGAACGGTACAAGGGAAGCATGTCAAATCATTTTATATCGAAAACTGGTTTCAATTTTTTAAGTAAGACCCAGTCATCTCTGCTAACAGTATCACGGAACGCAGGGTCCTTCAAAGTATCGATGGATCTACGAGAAATCAAAGAGTATAAGTTATCAGATTCATCGAGATGACGGCCCCATGTAGGTTGAGCGGACGAAGGATTTTCTAATCTCATAGCAACACCGGCAGAAGTTTGTCCCTTCTTGACAATATCAAGAGATTTATGGTTAACTTCCAAAGATACCACTTTACCTAAGACCATGATATTTGGTGTTTTGGTAACAGGATCTTGACGAACGGCACAAATTGGAGTACCAACACGAACAGCACCTTCAAGGACATCGACACCGATAATCATAGGGTTACGTTTGTTAATGATTTGAATAGTCTTCAAGACACATGGCAAAACCGCATATTCCAAGAATTCTTTACGACGAGCTTCTAATAATTTTTGTTGGTAGGCAGTGAATTGATCGAACAAGTGATAGATAATGTCAGCATTGAAAATTTTAATATTTTGTTCGGTGGCGTATTGTTCAGCTTCTTTGTCGACCTTAACATCGAAACACAACATGACCGCATACTCAGGTGCCTTTTCTAGCATAGTACTTGCCTTCATAATATCTCTTTTGTAGACTGGACCCAAACCTATAGACATAACTGGAATTTTCAGATCCTTTAAGAAATCTAATAAAGCTTCTAACGAACCTAATGTAGATGCTTGAACGACAACACCCTTTCCGGATGTATCAACAGAATCTAATAAACCTGTCAAATCGTCCATGACTTCTTCCATGATTTCTTCTTCGTCATCATCTTCACCAACGACTACCAAACGAGAACCAGCGACCGCTTTTTCTAAATCGTTTGCTGCAATCTTCACACCCAAAGCTGCCTTGACTTCTTTGTTGTGTACATATTCAGATTTAATACGCAATTCACGGGAAGGTGGTGGTGTTAACAAAGCTCTGATATTTGTACATATAGGACCATTCAAACCACATAATACAACACGATCCCCTTCTCTCAAAATACCATTAGACAAGACAACATCGATAGTGTACCCGAAACCTTCAACTACCTTAACTTCTAAAATAGTCGCTTCAACCTTTGTCAAGTACATCAATTGCTTAGACATTCTCTTCTGTGTTAATTCAAGCAATAACCATAATAAATCTGGAACACCTTCACCAGTGACCGCAGATGTTGGAACTATCGAAACATATTTAGACATATTCTTGTTCTGGAAATATAATTCGGAATTCAAACCTTGCTCAGCCAATGCAACCTTAATTTGTTCATATCTATTTTGAAATTCTGCTTGAACAGATTTAGTTTGCTTAGCATAAGAGTCACGGAAAGAGTTATTTGGGATTTCTTTCCAGTCATATAATCTATCAATTTTATTTAATGCAACAACAAAAGGGGCTTTTCTGTCTCTTAATAATCTGATCGATTCAAGGGTTTGTTGTTCTAAACCATGCATAATATCGATAACCAAGATAGCAATGTTACAAAGAGAAGAACCACGAGATCTTAAATTGGTGAAAGATTCGTGCCCAGGGGTATCAATAATCAACAACCCTGGAACATCAAATGTTTGCTTTTCATGTTGTGCCATAACTGCAGTCTTTTGTTTGATAGAATCAACTGGGAAGTATGTAGCACCGATTTGTTGTGTAATACCACCAGCTTCACCACCTTGAACATTAGTTTGACGAACTTTATCTAACAACTTGGTCTTACCAGTATCGACATGCCCTAAAATACAACAAATTGGAGACCGCAAATCACTTTCAACCGGAACGGACTGTTTGTTTTGGATTGCCAATTTATGTGCTTCTTCCTTAGCTTTACGATCAGCTTCTTCCTTAGCCTTACGATCGGCTTCTTCCTTGGCCTTACGTTCAGCTTCTTCCTTGGCCTTACGTTCGGCTTCTTCCTTGGCCTTACGTTCAGCCTCTGCTTTTTCAGCAGCTTTAGCTTCGTCATCTTCATCGTTTAACGCAGCTTCCCAATCATCAGCGATTGGTTCATCATCTTGTAAAGCCATCTTTTCCCAGTCTTCGACAATATCATCATCTCCGCCATTAGTTTCTTCTGTCTTATTTTGAGCTTGGGCTTTATTATTATGTTGAATAAATGTCTTAGGCTTCGTAGATTTTTTCTTACCGTAAACGATCTTCTTAGGCTTTGCTGCTTCTTCAGTATTACCTTCTAAACCAGGCACAGAAACATTTCCTTGTAATAATTGTTGACGACGACGTTCCTGTAATTTCTTCTCTTCTTTTTGTTTTTTAGTCAACAATTTACCTTCAGCCTTCAATTGCTCCTTCTTAAGTCTTTCCTTCTCTTTCTTAGCAGCTCTATTGGCTTCTTGTTCAGCCTCCGCTTCAGCCACTTTTTTCTCTTCTTCGGCAAGACGTTCTTCTTCTTCTTCTTCAAGACGACGTTGCTCTTCTTCCAATTGCTTCTTTAATTCCAATTGACGCTTCAATGCAGCAATACCAGCTGGTACTTTCTTGCCACCCTTCTTAGCGGATGCCTTACCTTCAGGTTCAGGAGTGTTACCTTCTGCAGGTGTCGACGTCGCAGACGCTGCCGCAGCATTTTGCTTATTAGCTTCCTTGATCTGCTCCTTCTTGTCTGCTTGTTGAGCCTTCTTTTTAGCTGCTTGTTCCTTCTTTTTTTGCTTTTCCGCCTCCTTCTTCAATTTTTCCTTCTCTTTCTTGGACAAAACCTTTGGTGCATCTTTTGGTTTGTTCTTTTCTTCCACCACCTTTTCAGCCTTCTTCTGTTTAGACTTACGGATCGAACTCAAGAAATCTCCAGCAACATCATCTGCAGATGCTGCATCGGCGCCCTCAGGCGCTGGGGAAGACACTTCTGACCCTTCCAATCCATTAGATTCACCGAATTCTTCGCTCTGTGGCGCTTCATGGGCTAAATCTTCATCATCCCAGAAATCTCCTCCAGATTTGGCACTCTTGTTACCTTTTTTACCCATATTTAAATATATTTATGTACTAAATATTATAAATTTTGGTTGTCTATCTCTATATTCAATACTTCAATTTGATGAAAATTTGAAATTTTTTTTGTATCACATTTTGTCGATCGAATTTCACACTACCAATTTTTTTTTTGAAGAGCTCTTAAGATGAAAAAAAACCAATCGCAATAGAATTATAAAGAAAACTAGAATTATTTGCTTTTGAACGTTACATTATGACTACTGTTGAAAAGATTAAGGCCATCGAAGATGAGATGGCCAAAACTCAAAAGAATAAGAATACTTCTTTCCATTTAGGTCAACTTAAAGCCAAGTTAGCTAAATTGAGAAGAGAATTATTATCAGATAGCACTCCTTCTGGAGGTGGTGGTGGAGCCGGGTTTGATGTGGCAAGAACAGGTGTAGCAACTATTGGTTTCGTGGGTTTCCCATCTGTAGGTAAATCTACGTTATTGTCGAAATTAACGGGTACCCATTCAGAGGCTGCTGCATATGAGTTTACTACGTTAACCACCGTTCCAGGTATAATCAAATACAAGGGTGCCAAGCTTCAAATGTTGGATTTGCCGGGTATTATTGAAGGTGCTAAAGATGGTAAAGGTAGAGGTAAACAAGTTATTGCTGTTGCAAGGTCTGTGAATTTATTATTTTTAGTCTTGGACGTCAACAAGCCGTTGCAACATAAGAGAATCATTGAATACGAGCTCGAGGGGGTAGGAATAAGAATCAACAAGGAACCACCAAATATTGTCATTCAAAAGAAAGAAAGAGGAGGTATTAATATTACCAGCACTTCGCCAATGACCCACTTGGATAACGATGAAATCAAGGCAGTTATGGCAGAATATAAGATCAACTCGGCCAACATTGCCTTCAGATGTGATGCCACCGTCGACGATTTGATCGATGCTATTGAAATAAAGTCTAGAAGATATATACCTGCCATTTACGTTTTAAACAAAATTGATTCCTTCTCCATCCAAGAATTGGACTTGTTATATAAGATCCCAAATGCCATCCCAATATCAGCAGGCCAAGGCTGGAATTTGGACGATTTATTAGAAATCATGTGGGACAGATTGAAGCTTGTCAGGGTCTACACCAAGCCGAAGGGTAAATTACCAGATTTCAATGAACCTGTGGTTTTGAGAAATGATAGATGTACAGTCGAGGATTTCTGTAATTCCATCCATAAATCTTTGGTTTCTGATTTTAGAAATGCTTTGGTTTTCGGAACCTCTGTTAAGCATCAACCTCAAATTGTAGGTTTAGGTCATGGTTTAGAAGATGAAGACGTGATTACTATTTTGAAAAAATAACCGTTCAGATACATGTATAATATTATAATCAATCTATATAAAACCACATATAGTATATGTAACTTACTAAGACCTTTTAATGTACAGAAATTGGTATATTTAAGTCGTTCTCTCGTAGGGCTTGTACTAAGCTTGCGTCAACTGAAAAATTAGATGATCACATGATACATACTGAAAATAAATTTTTAGGCTTTCTTCATTTCCAACGAAACGAATAACACTAATTGTGGTAAATAACAGAATATAGTAATATTTCTAAGCTTCAATCAATTTAGTTGGAATTTCTTAAGTCTCAAGGTGCACTAATATTGATTTGCGTCAATTTATTACAGACTTTATTTAAGATTTACTGATAAATTTAGTTAACATGTCTTCATTACCAACTGAAGCTCAAGGTGTCTTGACACAGTTAGTGAATGGGTTATCATCTTCAGATAATTCAGTTAGATCGGGGGCAGAAAAGTTGCTTGAAACTGAATGGACTAAGAAAGAAAATGTTGAAATGTTGTTGATATTTTTAGCAGAACAGGCTTGCGGTTCGGATAATGATACCTTAAAGGCTTTTTGCGCCGTTATGTTTAGACGTGTTGCCATTAGGTCTCCAAAGGAAATTGCCAGTGTAACAGATAGAACTATTGGGGTTATTGGAGAGCCTGTCAGGCAACAAATTCGTGCAATCTTGTTGCACGGCTTTACATCGCAACAATCAAATCAAGTAAGACACAAGCTTTCTGATGCTATTTCAGAAGTAGCCAAGGAAGATGCATCGCCGCTGGGTTCGTGGAATGAATTAATACCAGCATTATTCCAAGCCACTAAGAATTCTGACCCTAGCTTTCGTGAGTCTGCTTTTCGTGTTTTTTCCTCAGCACCTGAATTGATTGATAAGTCTTATATTAATGAAGTTCTTCCAATTTTCAATACTGGATTTGATGACGAAAATGATGATGTTCGTATTGCCGCGTGTACAGCGTTCGTTGCTTTTTTCCGTGAAATACCTAAGAGCAGTTGGCCAACATTATCTCCTTTATTGCCAAACTTATTGAATTCGTTGCCACGTTTCTTGCAGAATGGCCAGGATCAAGCGTTGTCGTCTGTCTTAGAAGCATTAATTGACTTGGTTGAATTGGCACCTAAAATGTTTAGGGAAATGTTCCCAACTATAATCGAATTTTGTGCAGCAGTTTCCAAAAACAAAGAGTTAGACTCTGGTGCACGTATGGCTGGTTTAGAATTATTGACAACATTTGCAGAAGTGTCTCCATCCATGTGTAAACGTACTTCGTCATATACTGATAATATGGTGTTAATAACGTTGTCCATGCTCACAGAAGTATGTATTGATGACGACGAAGCGGCAGACTGGAACAATAATGATGACACAGAAGATGATGACGAAGAGCCAGAATATGATGCTGCACGTCAAGCTTTGGATCGTGTTTCTTTGAGGTTAAACGGTCAAGCGTTAGCAACTCCGTTATTCCAATATTTACCAGTGATGATCCAATCCTCAGCTTGGAGAGAACGTCAAGCCGCATTAATGGCTTTATCATCTGCAGCAGAAGGGTGTTCTGATGTTTTAATGACAGAAATTCCTAAAATTTTGGACATGATTTTACCAACATTACACGACAGTCATCCAAGAGTTCAATACGCCTGTTGTAATGCCTTAGGTCAAATGTCAACAGATTTTGCGAACGTAATTCAAAGAACATCCGGTGACAGAATATTACCAGCCTTAATTTCAATGTTGACTAGCAAGTCAGTTTTCAGAGTTCAAGCACACGCCGCGGCAGCATTAGTTAATTTTTCAGAAGCCGCTTCTAAAGAAATATTAGAACCTTATTTAGACGATTTGTTGAATAATTTACTTGGGTTATTGCAATCTCCAAAGAGATACGTTCAAGAACAAGTCTTAACTACAATCGCTATTATAGCAGATGCTGCCGAGAAAAAGTTTATCAAGTACTACGATACCTTAATGCCGTTATTAACTGATGTCCTCAAAACTGATATGGGACAAGAGAATAGATTATTAAAAGCAAAGTGTGTTGAATGCTCAACATTAATTGCTTTAGCGGTCGGTAAAGAGAAGTTTGCTCCTCATAGCCAAGGTCTTATCCAATTATTTGGACACATCCAAGAGACTGCTGTAGAAGATGATGATCCCATCAAGCCATATTTAGAACAAGGTTGGGGTAGAATTTGTCGTATTATTGGAAAAGATTTCGTACCATATTTGCCTGCAGTTTTACCACCATTATTGAATGCGGCTAAAGCTACACAAGATATTTCATTGTTAGAAGAAGATGAGGCCGAAGAGTACAATTCAAATGATGAATGGGACGTCATCAATTTATCTGGTAGACTTATAGCTGTTCACACTGCTGCCCTTGACGATAAAGTGTCGGCAATGGATTTATTAAGAACATACGCTATTCAATTAAAAGGTGACTTTTACCCTTGGGTCAAAGAAATTGTTCAAGATATTGGTATCCCAGCCCTTGATTTTTACTTGCATGATGGTGTACGTGCATCCGCAGCTTTAACTTTGGCATCTTTATTAAAATGCTCAGTGGTTGCAACAGGTAATAACTCGAACGAAACATTGCAGATATGGTCTCAAATATCTAACAAGTTAGTCGAAGTTTTAACAAACGAACCTGTACCAGAATTATTGGTCGCATATTACACGTCATTAGTGGAATCTATTGGCGTATTAGGTGCAAACTCATTATCTCAAACACAGTTGGAATCTTTGGCAAAATCCATTAATTCGAACTTAACTGAGATTTACGAACGTATAAAAGCACGCGACAATGAAGATGACGAATATACTGAAGAAGTCGATGATGAGGAGGAAGAATATACTGATGAGGAATTATTAGATGAAATTAATAAAGCAATTTCAGCTATTTACAAAAATTCAAAGACAAATTTCTTACCAGCTTTCCAAATTTTGGTTCCAACTATCGCTTCGTTCATTAACGATGAAAACACTAATATTAAGCTTTGTGGTTTATGTACTGTGTGCGATATCTTGGAGCATTGTGGTACTGATTCGATTGTTTACAAATATATGTTTATTAACGTTGTTGGTGAATCATTAACCGCGTCCCATGCCTCAATTCGCCAGGCTGCTTCATACGCAGTAGGTATGGCCGCTCAACATGGTGGTAATGCCTACGGTGAATTTTGTTTGGCCTGTTTAGAACCAATTTTTAAAATGGCCTCTGTCCCAGATGCCCGTGCTGATGATAATATTCATGCAACTGAGAATTCCATCTCCACTTTGGCTAAGATTTTCCACACTTTCGGTTCCTCAATACCTAATTTAGACGCTCTCATACATCAATGGATTGATTTATTACCTGTTGTCCAAGACGAAGAAGCAGCACCATTTGCTTATACTTTCTTGTGTCATCTAATCCAAAGCCAACATCCTAGTGTTACAAGTCAGGTCCCCAAGGTTGTCGACGCTGTTATTCAGGCGTTATCTCATGCATCTATCTCAGGTAATACTGCTGAAAGGACAGCTGCTGCTACGAGACAATTACTTGGTAATATACCACAAAGTGAAGCCGTGGCTTTATTACAAAAATATCCTGCCGAGTTGCAGGTTATCCAAAAATGGTTTTCCTAGATCTCATTTAGTATATTGATAATTTATTCATA